AATTTTTTTTAAGAATGTATAATTTTTGTTTCATTTTTATAAGCCATTATAAATATATTCATATTTTTTATTTCAATTTGCTACATTTTTGATTAAATTTCAGAGGTAAAAAGTAAATTAAGTCTAGTTTTTTTTTGATTTTAAAAATTGTAATGTATAAAATTCAAATAAATTTTCTAAAAAAATGATTGTTTTACAAGAAATTAGAATTAAAAAAAAATTCATTTTTTACGATTTAATTTTTTATTTAAAGATGTTTTTTTTATTATAAAAGTTTTGATTTTTTATCATTTTTATTTTCTTTTGGTAAGTAAAATTGTTTTTTTTTATACTTTTACATTTTGAAAAATAGTTGGAAAATTTTGGAATTTTTTTTTTTTAATAAAAAATAAGAATATTTATTTATTTATATAAATAAAAATTTTGATTTATATTTTGTATTTTCAATATATATTAATATCTAATGATTTCGGTTTTTGTTTTCTGAAAAGAAAAAAATTAATGGAAAAAAATTCCAAATTCTTCAAAATTGATAAAATATTATTATTTACATTACCAAAACACATCTTTTTTTTCATTAAAAATTATAGAATTTTTTCAATTTTTGTTTCTATTCAAAAAAAAAATTGAAAAAATTTATATATCTTAAATAAATTTTTAAAATTTGACATTATTAATATATCATTGATTTATTATTACTTATAAATTTTAAATTTAATATTTTTTATTATAAACAGATTAAAGTTCTGTTTTTATTTTTGTTAATTAAATATATTTATTTTGCATTTATTTAAGCTAAATTTATTTTAAATGAAAAAAAAAATTTTCAAAATTAATGATTTGAGTAAATTCATAAAATTAAATCCCATTCCAAATTCAATTTATAATATTATCTTCTTATTTATTTTGTTTTTTTTATTTTTTTTTCAAATAATGCAAAAAAATGAAAAAATATATAAAAAAAAAAAAACAAAATTTTTTTTTTTTTAATTTTCTATTTAAAAATTAAATTTTTCCATTTTAATATTTTCATTTTCATCCTGATTTATTTTTTTAATATTTTATAAAATTTATAAAAAAAAAAAAATTTCAAAATAAAAATAAAATTCTTATTTAAATTTTAAATTTTAAAATTTTTGATATATATGACCAAAATTCATATCCATTTTTTTTATGTAATTATATATGATTTTATTATAAAAAAAAATTTCAAAATTCTATAAAAATAAAAAAAAAAATTCAATGTTAATAATAAATTTTATTTTAATTTTTATTAAATTTATTTTTTGTTTCCTCATTTTTCATTTTTAATTTTCTTTTGGATTACCAATTTTATTTCAAATAAATAAATAAAAAAATAAATAAAATTTTTTTAAATTCCAATCTTCGATTTCATTTGATTGAAATTTAATGTTTTTTTATCTTTTTAAACAAAAAAAAAATTTAAAAAATTTTATTTTCATTTGTTTCAATTTATATTTAAAGTGTCTAAATATATTTTAAATAATCCTTTTTTTTTAATATTTATTTTTATACATTTATTATCAAATTATTTCAATAAAATTTAATATTTTATTTGTTTAATTTATTTTCCCATTTCTTATAATATTTTTTTTATTTAATTAATATTTCCTTAATTTTTAAAAATTTTTATATTTTTAAAATATTTATTCAAATAAAAAATTAAATAATTTTTTCAAAACATATTTCTTTTTAATATGATTTTTATATTTTTTAAAACATTCAATTTTTTTTTCAGAGAAAAACCAAGGAATTCATTTATTTATTAAAAAATTTGTCCTGTTTTTTTTTTTTTTAATTTCATATTTTAACAATATTTTGTTTATATATGCATATAAAAAATATAAAGTTCTATTTTTTAAAAATAATATATAAGCAAAAATTATTTATATATATATATTATATATAATTTAATTTTTTTTAGTTAAATTTAATGATTTTTTGTTTTTCTTTATTTTTTTTATATTTATATATTAAATATTCATTTTTAATTTTGAAAATGTTTATTTTTATATAAAATTATATTTTAAATTAAATATTTTTGTGTAAAAAATTCATTGTAAATAAAAAATCAATTTCATTCTTTATGAATTTAAAATTATATGAAAAAGCCAAATATTAAAAATAATCATCAAAATAAATATCCGTGCTTAATAGAAACAAAAATGTTTTTTTTTCATTTGTATGATAAAGAGTAAAATTTATTTTTTTATAATGGATTTATTTATTTAAAAACAAAACTTTTATCAATTATTTTTTTTTAAATTTTATATATATATTATATATATATATATATATATATATATATATATGATTATTTTTTTATTTTTTGTTTTAAATTATTGGAATTTTAAAAAATAATTATTGAGAAAATTGAACAATTTTTTTTTTTTAAATTCCTAAAAAAAATTTATTTTGATAAAAATTTTTTAATAAAAAAGGAATTTCATTTATAAAAAAATATAAAAAATTATTATTAATATAAGTCTTAATATATTTTAATATTTTTTTTTTTTATAAAAATTTTAAAAATATATAAATAATATTTAAATCAAGAATATATATATATAACAATAATTTTTTTATGTATATTTTGTGAATAAGTATATATATTCATATATATATATATATATTATATATAATATTTTATAAATTTAATTTTAAATTGATTTTTATAATTACAGTTTTTTTTCTTTTTTTTATACATTCTTTTATTAGCAACTGTAAAAAAGAAAATTTAGAATTAAAATAAAAATTTTTTAATAAAATGAATATATATATATAAATATATATATATATATTATTTAAATAATTTAATCGTCAAATTATTAACATGTCATTGTTTAAATATTTTTAAATGATATTGAAACGATGCAAAATATCTAAAAAACAGTTCGAAAAATAAAAATGTTCAATTAATATTGATTTAAGATACACAAAAAAATTAATATTATATTTATATATATATATATATATATATTATTTATTTACATTTTAATTGTATATAAATATATATATATATATATATATTTGATTTTATATTTATATATATATATATATATAAATAAATATATATATAAATATATATATATATATATATATATATATATTATATATTTTATATATATATATATATATATATATATATATATATATATATATATATATATATATATTAAAATTATTTAAAATATGTTTTTTTTTCGCTACACAGTTCTAACCATGTTTCAAAAATGGAAGTTAAAGCCCCGAATTTAATTTTGTAATTAAATTAAAGACATTAGTTCCATTTCATCCTCAAGCGAATTTTGGAGTAACTTTTTAAATTACTGGGTTTTAAAGACACAGCTAAAATCATAATTCATGTTTTCAATGGTTACAGATAAATCCATTTCAACTAGACAAGGGGTGTCTGGGTTTTCATTATGTCTGTATTTTAATGTATCAGTTATTAGTTACGTTTTTTTAGGGGGTAGGGATGTATTTTTCAATGAAATCTAACATCCGTTAAATGCATGTCGTCTGGATTTTTTTTTTAAATTTTATTGTTAACGGCAAAAATTCTTACGGCATTTTTTTTTCGTATATTTAAATATTTTTAAGGGTGTTTACGAGAATACTTTTTTTTAAAATTTTTTGAAATATTTTTACTTTTAATTTTAATATACTATATTTTTTTTAAGAACAATTAAATGTAATGAGAATCCCTTACAGTTTGTAGAATTATTATCACATCAAGTATATTAAATAAAAATTCTTTTTATTTAAATATTATTGAAGTAATTTTTTTTTTTTTTTTGCACAATTCATTTCTCGGTTTTAGTAAATATAAAGAATATAAAATATAGACATATTAAACACCCAGACACCCCTAGTCTAGCAAAATAGATTTATCTGTAACCTTGGAAACATGAATTATGATTTTAGCTGTGTCTTTAAAACCCAGTAATTTTAAAATCTAGTTACTCCAAAATTCACTTGAGGATGAAATGGAACTAATGTCTTTATTACAAAATTAAATTCGTAGCTTTTAGCTTCCATTTTTGAAACATGGTTAGAACTGTGTAGCGAAAAAAACATATTTTAAATCAATTAATTTATAATATTAATGCTCTGTA